ACCAAATAATACATAGTCAAAAGTATAAAGAATTGCTGCTAATGTCTAGTTTCCATCGTCGTGTGTGTCGTGAAAATGTCAAGGTGGCTGATATGATAAAATGTTTCTATGTGTGTGCACTCAACAATCACCGATTTGAATTAAGAGATAAGACAAATTCTCATTGGTGAGGATAACTTGTTCATAATCACGATGAAATGAAGACTAAGACTTACAAGTCTATATAAATGCAAACCAATTTCCGCGGTGTAACACGAAATACAAGTATGCAGTGGGGCTAGCGTGTAAGTGATGTATGTATGTATAACACTGCGGTTGCGGTTCGGTTGCGATCCGGTCGCGGTTCGGTTGAGGTCGACCGATAGAAACCGCAGACGACCGCAAGGGAAAAAATATGATCGCAGTTGCCGTTTGCTTCCGAACGGAATGTTATGAACAGCTGAGAACGACAACACAATAATCAAATCGAAAACATCTTAATTAAGAAATGTCTGTCAGACCGAGGTTTGACCGAGCTTCGACTTTGGTCTCACCGCGGTTCGACCTAGGTCTGACCTCGGTTCAGTCACGGTTTTTGTTAGGTTATTAGTAGACAGTACTGTACAGTGGTTCCATGAATTGCAGTAGTTTTAAAGAGATTTTACGTTGTAAATTATGCATCTGCAAGCCATGCATGGTGCCCGCCATAGTTAAAATTCCAGTCCGCCTCGTTAAATCACAGGGCATTATTGCCCATGGGCTTCCACTTGCTTTTTTAATTAACATCTAGCAAAAATACTTATAATTAGACTTTAAACGTACCCTTGAAAATATAGACATCTTGCCTAATTAGAAAACTTCAGCTTTGTCACAGTTGTTTCTAAAAAATATTTCAATCATTAGTTAGTTAAGACACGGTGCTTCCCATGTATTTCCATTTGTTTTGGTAAATGCAGATGCCAAAGCTGCTTTGGCAATAACAATTATTTTGCCTAGGTGATATTCAATTCAATATTTTACTAAATAAAAGACCTCAGAATGCGCTTCCATGCCGTCATATTAGCAAGACTAAACCTAAGCGCATGCTGTGAATGGAATTTTGTTGTTTTCCTGGAAGGAAAATTAGATCTTGTTCATTTAATAAAGGGCCCTTACCATATTTGGAAAGCGAAACTTTAATTGTACACATCAAATAACCCACATAATTTACACCTATATTTAAATATATTCTGTGATCACATGCATGCAGTAAAAGTTCTAGGTTTCAAAGCAGGCGTCGGGGAACGTAAGGGTCAAGGGCGGGCTTTAACTCTTCCGCTGTTTTGCTGAGTATATAAATGATTGATCCAATTCGCATAATCTCCCTGGGAAGGGCTGGTCAATGCGTACGGGTAGCCTAATTTTGTTTAATTCACTTCCATCGTTATTTGTGATATCTCTCGGACATTAATTGTCCTTTTTCGGTAGACAAGCGAAATTTTCATCATAAAAAATGTAGAGATTCTTTAAAAAAACAAACAAAGCTACTTATACCCTTCGACCGGCGCCGGCGTATTTAAAGCTCTCTACTTATATAGTATAGTTTTCAAAATCCATTCTATGGAAATTCAACTACACCCATACTGTTATCAATAATATGGAATGGCATTATGGCAATAGACCTTTCCCCTTTTAGCTTTCTAGCGCGCAATGCGTGACGGTAGTTGATTATCAAGGCCGATTTGAGTTGTTATTTCGCCATGTTCAAGAGCGATTTAGTTTGACAAAGAAGCAAAAAGAATCGGCAAGTTTTTCGTACCAACAAAATCGCTTCTAAACTCAAAGTTGTTTGATAATAAACTACCGTCACGCATTGTGCGCTTGAACGCCAAAAGGGGAAAGGTATGGGTATTAGAAACTTCCATACTATTTCCAACTATAGCATCCACACTATTTCTATGATATGGATTTTCAAAAAAAAACTCCAGTGAAATCAGCCTTCCACCTTGGATTTGCTTCTTTCCTTCCCTTAATTAAGAAGGTTTTTCTAGACTGTTTAGGGACATTAATGCAGTGATAACCACTAGATCCCTCTTTAAAAACGTTATAAAATTATGTGTTTCGATATATAATATGTTTTATTTTGATAGTGCAAACCACTCTAAATATTAAAACCAGTGTGTTACATGCAAATGATCAAACAATAACATATTTTAAAAATACCGGTAAAAGATAGTTAAAAATATTTGTAAAAGATAGCTAGCTTTACCTAGAAATCTTCTTTTATAAGTCAGCTGACGTTTAACTAGCTTTGTTGAGGCAATTTTATTCTTGCAAACTGAAATATGAAATGAACAATTGGTTAATTTCTTTCCAGAGGAATCACGATACTCACTGATGATATCGACCGCGACTATATCAGAATGTTATAATATAGATGTTGATATCAAATAGATTATGAAAGATGCCTTTGAGAACTTCTTACCTAAAGTTTCATTGATCCAGACTCTTCGAAGGAGGATCTAAAGAATGATCGTCGAGGCGGGGTTGGGATGTATTAAAACGGAGGGAAATGGCCCCATGTTGTTTATACTAATGAATGATTATTATCGGCAGCAATAAGGCGTTACATGATTTAACTAACTCTACAGTCTACTTGCAAAACAATTTTGACTGATCTCGACATGAAGACGGCGGAAACACCGAGCAAAAAACTAGATTGTGCAAGGATACACCACGTAAATTTACTATTTAGCTAGTTATGCATGTTAATGAAAATAAACTCTCACATACGCGCTCACAAGAGCTTCGCCTCAAAATAGATTCGAGACAATACACTATATAATTGCTACATAGATTTGAAGAAGACGCCGTCACAGGGGTTGAATATTAATTGAAACCATGTTGATGTGAAATCGCTCACAATACTCACATGATGTTTGTAAGGCACAGTTAAAAAAAAGCAACACCATGCCGCATTTAAACTACTAACTAGAATTATATACAAATTGTAAGTGAATTGCTGCGAGTGAATACACAAAGTGCCTTTATCTTTCAAATTATTTCTTGGGTAGTCTTCAGGATAGTAATGGCTGCAATATTGCGTGTCTAAAAACTGGATTTTGTTTATATTATGATAAACGTATATACAAATATTATATTGTGGTTTTATGCTTATGAGAATTCTCACACTTTCGATTAAACGCCGGTGCTTTTAGCTGACGCCAACAACGTGCACATAAGTGCGAATATGAAGCATTACACATTCGCTTAGGATGAAACCGCAATACCATGGTACGTGTGCTCAAAAAATGATCCTGTAGCAAAAATCGCTGAAATCGAGATGCACGTCAAGAATATAGGGCCGCATGCTTCGCTCGCAGCAATAAAGAATCTGCATGATACATATTTCAGCTCCGAAAATCGAATTAAAGTTGTGTGCATGCTTTCGTAAAATGTCCAATGATTTTGTATTCATATACTGCTAATAATTGCCTATATAACAGGCTATATAACACTTTGTGTCGTATTGTTAGGAAAGTGTGCAGTATTGAATGTGAATGTAATGAAATTTAAAATATATGTGGGCCAAGGGAGAAGCTGAAGGATGTTGAAATTACCAAATAATGAAATTACTGATCAATAAAATTAATAGATTTTGTTGAAATATGTAACTATATATCTGTTTAGCTACTTCATACTTGACGATATCTATATGTGTAGTATTGAAAATCCTTAGAATAGGCCCAGCTATATAATTATCATAATATTTGGTAACTTTAACAAAGTTACTTTCACTTTCATTACTGGAGCGTTTTCAAAGAACTGCATGGGTCTAAATTTACGTTAACATGTAGTCAGTATATATGCATGTGCTCTGTCATGCTAATTTGTAAATACACATTCCTTAAATTGCGGCTTTTACTGCAAAGTATTTAAATAGTTTTTTTGATTGTGAGGCCAATCGTCCTAAAACAATGAAGTTGTCGCATTGATCACTAAAATAGATTATCACTAATTTGAAGTAGAAAGATTGGCTTTATTTTGATACACTCTGCTGCGTTGTTAATAAAGATACGATCAAATGGTTAATCGTCATACTTAGCAGCTATTGTTTCATCGGAGAATCATAATTGTTTTGACAGTTCAATTATACCTCCCGTGTTTTGCCATCCAAGAGTATATTGGCTCGATGCTATTATAGCTGAGATCGACACGGAAGGAAGTCTTAATCTCAATCCCAATTTTTGGGCACCAGTGCTAAGTATCACAAGAGCAGCATTAAATTATATTCATGCATTCCTTATTGATATCCTTGGAAGTCCAGGAATTAACTTTCACTTTCGGTTTTGCGTGGTTTTGTAAACTCAATATCTTATTAATTCTGGAATTTCTAAGTTATCCTTGCAAGTGGGTGTAATACCAGCTTTACAGATAGATACGTGGCACTTTGAGCGCACTAAGAGGGGGCATATTTATATATCCTTTCGTTATTCTTTTAAGTGTACCATATAAGGAATGATAAGACACGGAAAACTTTGAGTATCTGTTTTACTTCACTGAGCGATTTACCAACATACGAACGAGATGGACATGTCTAACTATCGCAAGCAATCAAGCAACTTAGGCCAAATTTCCCCCGACACTCGTGCGCTAGCTTCAAGTTTAACAAACGACTTTGCCCGGCAAAACCTCGACTACAGCACCCCCTCCACACGGTACGTACGCCACTCGCGCTGCGTCTACCTCCGGTCAGAATGCTGCAACTCCTTCTTGACTAAAGACCAAGAACGCGCATTAAAATAATTCTAATCAAGAATCATCACAATCGGCCACACAAGTACAATAAGATATTATTACTCACTAAATTCTATATCCGTATTACTTTTGGATGGTCCACCAGGCGATTATACCAATATATTATAATTATTCTAGAATCATAAAATTCTTTAGAGGCTTATAATCTATATCAATATATATATAGCAATTGTGTGACACCTCCCCCTATTGGGAAGAAATGTATCCTTAGTTCCACATGAGCATTACAATAAAACGTCTAATCCTTAATAAGTTTTTTCTCCATGACTGTAGCAAAATTTCAAACTTGTATGCTGTTGTCATGAGACGCGGAGTTGACAGTAAAAGTCCGAGACGTCGCTTTATCAGAAACGGGCGTCCGCGGGGTGTTGACCTGCGCTCGTTTCCGGCAGGTAAACAACGCAATTAAGCCTTTTCTATAGTCAGGCATCCTGTAAGCATAGATAAGAGGGTTTATGACATAGTTTATGTGCATCAGGGGTATAGTGTAAGTGATGACATCGTGGTTGAAGCTTATGTTCCACTCTGGTTTAATATGGTATAAGAAATGGACTTGCTCAGCGACAAGGTACGGAAACGCAGTTACCAAAAACACGACGAAAAGCAACAAAAATGTCACGGTCAGTCCGTTATCATTCTGCGATCCGGCAGGCATGAGTTGAGAAAGCTCTCGGCGATTTTTCCGCATATTTAAAATGACTAAAATTCGAAAAACAAGGACAGCCATAACACAAATCTGGAACACGCAAAGGACAACACTGAGTACGGTAAACGGATACTCCTCCGTCCAAAAATTACTAGAAGCTACAATAATGGCTGCGAACCACAGAACCGAGATCGCGAAAAGAGTCTTTCGTCTGGTTAACACGAGGTGTGCCGTCAGCGGATGCTTCGTAACGATGTACACTTCGACGCTCAGCAGGAGCAGCATAAGAAACGACGCGGTGAATCCAATGTGGACGGTGGCATAGAACGATTTCACTGACCAGAAGTTTGCCGGATCTAATCTAGATTCGTAGTCGTAGAAACATAGCCCGATACCACCGATATTCGAGATCAAATCCGCCAGTGCCAAGTTTGCGATCGTCAGACAGGCTCGCTTGCGGAGATTTCTCATCGGATCGCGAATTATGATAATTAGTAGCAGCGAATTTGCCAACGCTCCAAATATGCATTCTGCCAAAACGATTGGTGCGGTGTTGAACGAGTATGAAAGTGCTGAGGCCGTCGGAGTTCCGTTCATTATTTAATATTTGTTTTGAACTCTAAACAAAAGAATAACAGATGAATTATGTATTCTTTTCGTGGAGATATCTGCGTTTATGTCATGTGATATAGATGTCTACAAGTAAAAAGACTAAAGTAAAAACGAAGAACAAATTTTTTTATGACTTAAGTTGAAAGCTTTGAAACAAACTGCAAGTTCACGTTGACATTAAGACTCTATTGGATAAAGTTTATATTTTGGTTCATTTGAAAATGTTTTAAGCCAAAACATTACCGTAAACCCGACGATGTCCCCAGAGTATGCTTCCCCAGAGGTTTTTCCATTGAGTGTATTTAAGCAAATTTTCTGCTGATAATGTTTTTAATTATGAATAGATGTTTCCATGTGCATGTTTGTGTGAAATTTAAAATGAGTTAATTTCAATGTTTAAGTTTGTTAGGAAAACAAAAAGATCAGAATATTACACTAGTTGAGGCCTCACGTTCAGACTCTGCGGCCGGTTGTTCGAAAGGCGTTTAGCTTAAACGGCGGATAAGTTCAATATTCATTGATTCAATATTCATCCTTTCATTAATGAAACAACTGAACTGAAATATTTTAATGTGAATAGTTCATCGGAGTACATGTGGGTAGAGCCGTTCACAAGACGTATGAGACACATCAAGAGACAGGAAGCAATACTTTTTCGAATGGGTTTATTCAAATCTACAAATAGTGTTTAATTCTCTAAATTTTTCCTAATCTATTTACTGTACATGCGCGTTTGCAGTATTTCACAGTCTAAAATCCATATACCAATTCCGTATTTCTTATTCTACGCATGCACCTTTATAACAATTACCGGTTGGACATTTGCTACAGTCTTGCCTTGCGTTTATCTTTCTCTTCATATTTTTGAATTCGTGCTTGTTCCAATTTTGAAACGCATATTCCGAGTCATCGACATTTTCATCGTTCATCCACAACCAATTCGGCTTGCCAAGGCTTGCGTGGATCACACACACCACAAACAACACAACTAAAAACTTTATGCAGCTCTTCATATTATCAACAAACTTCTTTCCAACCAAAGGTACCTCGGTTAACTCGCTTTTTTCTTTCTCTAAGGCCTTCTCTTCGACTGGGCTAGTCGATCTATGGACACGATGAAGTGCATATTCTGAAGTTGGTGGGGAGCTTATATACCTGCTTCTTTTTGCCAGATGTTTCATGCGACCCCAAAGTAAACGTTAGTTCGTTTATGACCGTTTCAAAAGGTAGGTTTTTTCGTGTACACTTTTCATTATGAATACTTGTTAGAGTATTCGGCACACGAGAAGCACGTTTGAAGCAGGCCTTATAATTAAATGTGTTTGTTCAGTGACTCTTGAGTCCTCAGACAAAAAAATACAGAAACCAGGTACTTCAGTCTATATTTGCTTTTGTGCCCACAACTTACGTACAAGTCTCAAGACTCTCAAGTCCCTAACACGTTTCCTGTGCGCTTGCCAATTCTTCCATTTCGTGTCCTGTAATGTCAAATCATCAATCGACTGTCCAAAATCACCATTTTCACCCTTTCCGGCTTCGCAAGCGGAGGCTTAAATCGCATACCGCAGGGTCATAACAAGGTGACATATATTTACAACTCTTCATAATATTTTATCAAATATCGTCGCTAATTGCTGCGCGTGGTAAACTAATTTTAACCATCAAGGTAGCCGCTAGTAAGTTTAATTATCGTATATTTGTACTGCGACTCCAAAGTCCTCGAACAAAACTTATAACACGTTAGTTATGACATGCAAACAGTGCATATGCTAGAGCATGACCGAAAGTCTATACGAATTTGCCGTTCGGTTATCTATAAAATATTGGAAGGAAATCGGTCAGTTGTTGTTTTCATAGATATGCCAAAAACTCTAGTTTCCTTCGACTGTTCAGAAGCCGGATCGTCGACAAAATTGAATTCCCATTACCCTCATTGATCGCGTCGCGTAGCGACAGCGATCTATAGTTTCTGCTTGGTTTTTTTTTTTGATCGCGTCGCGTAGCGACAGCGATCTATAGTTTCGGCTTGGTTTTTTTTTTTATTTTCCTCTTGGGTCGACCCCCAGCGTCGCTAGCTGCGGGCCATATCACCCTAATCGGGAACCTGCGCACAGGTAAGTTGCTAGTTATATCACGTGTTGTATTCACTTTGGGCATATTTCGTTTCACCTTCGAACTTCGAACAGTAAAGTAGAATCAATAAAGCGATCAAAATGCTAGCAAGTGTTATCTTTATCTTTACACTCATTACACATACAACTAACTGCACACGCCGAGCAGAGTAAGCCTGCACTAAAGGATTTCAAGCAGTTTCGAAATGGGCTGTTTTGTGTTTCTCCTGCTTTCAACATGCGACTATAGTTCGGTATATTGTTCATTTTTATTATTAAGAACATTTACGACACAAAATTTGCATAGCTGGGCTGGCTACGCCGCTGTGAACGACGCGATCATATAACGCCTAGTAGGCGTCTTGTTTTATATAACTTCGGCACTTGAAAAATATGAGTAATTCATATTATTATTTCAATGTCGAAACGCGGTCATTTACAATCAATTGTAATTATTAAAACTATAATTTCGCGCTCCTTGTACTATTAGTATTGGAAGAGCGGGATATATGACTCCAGGCGCATTATAGCTCAGTTTTGTCGACGCGTTTCATGATGTCTGATTCTCAGATCAACTGGTTAATACTAGAGGACTCTATGTAAACTGGAAAGATAACTGCCATTTTTGAAGCCAAATTGAGCGACAGTCACGATCATGAAAACAAAAACAGTGAAGAGGCTTGGCGGCAAAGATGGCGGCCAGATGCTATCTGAAATAACACTCAGTCAGTTAGCGTTCCAGTCTTTATAGAGTTCACTGGTTAATACGTGATAGTATCTATCGTTTCATCCGAGCTGTCTTAGCAAAAGATCTGCGATTGGCTGATAATGTGCGCCGTTCAATTTCGTTTTATGAAGCCAAACAAAAATAGGCTAGCTGGAAGTAGTTGAAGGAGACATGAAAACTAATGCCTGTCAACAATATGATAAAAAAAAATTTTCGAAGATTAACGTCTTGAGATAAAAAAATATTGCTTATAAGTTAAAACAGTACATGAATGATTCGTTCTCGATTTATGGCAAACGCCATCACAAGACTAACCAAACTCAGACATTTTTGCTAAGAATAGTAGTTTGTTGGACCAGAAACGTTCAAAGAGATCGACGAGGCGATGTTGATGCGACACCCGTGGTATACGGTCTAATACGTAGCAAATAATCTGTTGCCGCGACAACCGGCGGACTTTCACCTTTCATAAGCGGATAATAAATTCCACGATGAATATACTTCTATATTTTTTACTTTTACTGCAAACATTCATTACAATTGGACTGTTTGGAGGGACAGTAAATATAAGTCTGAAATCATTTGCCCCTCAAAACAGTCCATAGATGCTTTGCGGTTCGCGACTAGACCCAGTACCCTACTCGATTAGGAAATGGCTAATTTGAGTACGACTATCGCTTTTTCAATCTTCTACCAAATCCATGAGGTCCATGATTCTGGGACAAATGGATCGGGACCTTTTGTTGCCATTGGTTGATGGTAAATGTAAAACACAATGAGTTATAGAAATTGATTTTATATGAGCCCACAAAATGTGCAGCTGACGGTATCACGGATAAAATATGCTAACTGTTTAGCGTTTTTCAGGTAATCCATTCTATTGTCTATAGTTGAAGCGATCCAGCACTAATAGCGAAACTTTTTAAACTTAATCCCAAGTTTTAACGGTTAAATTCAAATATTTGAATTTTGAATCACTGAAAATTCAAAATCAGCTTTGTCAATATTTATTTATGCAGCTTAGAGACGTATTATTTAATGTTTTACTTTTGCAAAACAGAAATAAATTAAAAATACAGTTATTATATAGTTATAACCACCTAGACATGTAATACTTTGAGTTTGAGAATGTTTCTGCACGTATGTGTATAATTGGATAAATTTTGACGCTGTGATCATATCTTATCTACGTTTAAAATAGATCTGATTAGAAATTAATCTTCTTTTATAGACATATACTTGGCTTTAGTCTGATATACAGTTACAAATAATTTCAAAACTTTATGTGCATACGTTAAACAAGAAAACTTTGTATGATATATATTGTAATACCATGCAACAGAACACAAACAATTGTTCACTAGAACATTGTTTCGAGTCTTTGTAAAATATTATTTTATCTTCGACGGTCGAAATAATCTCTCCTTAAATTAAAATGTTCATTAATCAATGACCCGCGTCGGAAGCGATGTTTGACGTAAAGAGTGTTTATTATAATAATACATTAAATCAATCCGCCGAGCAAATTTTCTAAAAATTGTTCAAGAAACGTTATCTCGTGTGGAAAACCGGTCGTTTACCATTGACATTGAAAACGTGATTCACAATATTTTTGTATCTATGTTTGTTTGAACTATAGAATATTCGCAATGTCATTGACTCATTGACGAGGTTACTTAATATGTTATTCTCACCTGAAGTTCAACTTTGTCTTTAAGCGTAGAGTTTAAGATGAACAGCAAAGACAAAGTGCAGTATTCATTTGTTCGTTTACAGCCAAGATATCTCGGGCTTAAATACTCAGTCTTGAGATCCTAATCGCTGTAGGTCTTCGATATACAAGGATGTTAAATCTTTTTGCCCAACGCTCGTCATATGCCGAGCGGAAATCACATGCTTTCCTTTTACTTCACAGTTGCTTGGAAATTTCAATAATGCGAAGATTTATAAGATGGGATGTCACTTATCACTTGTCAGAATGTGATAAGATCTGATATGTATTTGCATATAATCGCAACGCCCACTCCTTATACTGTAATAATCATTATACGTAAGGAAAGCAAAATCTATAAAGGCGAAAGCAGAACTATATGAATTGACTCAGCATAATCGATCCAGATTTTAACAAAACTAACTGAATCAATTTTTTCAACGTAGCATGGGTTCGT